AACTAACTAATAGAAAACTATAGCAAAATCTAAAATTGTATAAATATTCACAAGAGTTTAATTTAAATAAATCTGTAAAATAGATATAGATCACTCTGATAGATTTGCTTCAAAATTAACTAACTCTATAATATCTATAATATATTAGATATAATATATTCTAAGAGGATCTAAACTAGTCTGAGGAAGAAACTTAATCTATATATCACTTGTATCAAAACTTTACCAAAAAATTTTTTACAAAAACTAATTTTCTTAAATAAACTGAGTAAATGCCTATAAGCAAACTTACTCAGCACTAGATTCTATATCTAGGCAATCTAATTTCAAATTTTTTAGCTTTCTTTCTAACAACTTACTATTGAAAATATAAAAGTAAAAAACAACTTCAAACTTTTAAAGTTTATTCAAAAACTTCTTTCTAAACCTCCTTTGAGCCCTTAAACAAAGTTGTTGGCCTAATCCTCCCAGTCATAACAAGCTATATTTTACTCAAATATCTTTAAAGCTAAGCCCTCTAGTACTTAAAACAGAAAAATTTACCTAATAAAAAAACTTCTACTTTGTCTCAAATTACTATTTTTTTTCATAATTTCTAAGACAATACTATTCAACTTTTTCTGATGATCATCAAAACCAAAACAACAAGACAACAAAAATTTTTTTTCTTGTGCTACTACCTAGTAAAACTACTTAAAGTGACTGACTACATGAGGAATAAACTATGAGACTACAATAAGCTAGTAGCAAGAACTGCAACAAGTCAGTTTTAAGATTGCACTAGACCCTTTGGCCGTCTGACTTTGGTGAGATAACTTTAAGTTAGTTTAGTAAAAAGAAGTTGACAGTGAAAAGAAGAAGTATAAGAAGAACTCTAACTATGCTTATACTAGGTCAAGCATATAACCACTCTCCCAGTTTTGTTTTTTTGAAGAACTGCTTCCTTTATTTATAACAACTAGATTTTTAGACTTGGAATTGTTTTACTTTGTTTCTTGATAGCAAAAAGTGAGGATTTGGCTTACCCTTGCCAAAAGATCTACATTCATATTATGTCTATTTTGAGAAAGTCATATTGTATGCTACCAAACAATAACAATTTACAAATATGTATAGCCACATGCTACAAGTTAATATCTGTTGACATCTTCATTAGAGAATTACGTGAAGCTGTGCCTTGTTAGATGAGTAATAAATAGACTTAATGGAATTAGTTGATATTACAGAGATATATACATGAGTAGCAACAGTATATATAATTTTTAATAGTAGTACTTGCCTTTGAGCTTGCTTTTAGGTAGAACTACTTTGGGTTTTTCTTTTTTTTTTTCTTTTTATGTTAAAAAAAAAATTTTTATTTTTTTATTTTCTTTTTTATTTGTATTTGCCTACACTTATATAGTAAGCTTTTTACTTGTTAACAAGTTTTTCTTGCTATTCTAGCTTAAGTTCTTATAGTATATAGCTTTTCTGCTTTTTGTTATTTATAACAACTTTTATTTTTTTCTATTTTAGAACTAGATATTAACAATTTTTAGTTTAGTCTTAGATTAGATTAGGAGAAACCTAGGATCTTAATGTAAGCTAAAAGTTGCTTTTTTTTAATTATTAATAACCTATGCTACTTTGATAGTACATTACTAATAGGAGATAAAATGCTTCTGCAGCAGATCGAACTTGGGTACTATCTGAGTAGCTGAGTTAGTTCTAAATTGTAACAAGAAGAGTAGTAAAGTATTATATCGAGATATAGTATTTTATATTGTCTGTATTATCTTTTGATGATTCTCCTAATAAAATAAAGGGCAAGATTACCTAAGTAGAAAAAAAATATATAAATAATTTATATATTTATAATTTAGATCAAAAAAAAAATTAGTACAAATTAAATAAAAATATTAATATTAAATATAAAACTATTAAAACTATAGATTTAACAACTAAATAATTATTTATAACAAATTTTTTTATATTATATAATTTACTTAATATTAATAATAAACTAGTTGTAGAAACTCCTGTAGCAATAGAAGTATCTGTAATAATAGAAGTTTTTTTTTTTTTTTTTTTTTTGTTAAGGTAGCTTATATTGCTAAAAAAAATTTTATTAGTATTGTTAATAGAATTATATATTAATAATCTCTACTATTTATAATTACATAAAGAGTATATAACAAGCCATACGAGCATAGCAGATATTTGATTTTATTAGCTTATAAAACCCTTAGTCACACAATATAAAAAAAATTTTAAGTAAACTTTACTATGAAAAGCCATTTTGTCAATTGGCAACTTTTGGTTTCACAAAGTAAAGTTTAACTAAAATATTTTATAAGCTTCTTTTACTCTCAAGATGTCTATTGAGCGAAGATGATCTCTATTGATCTCTATTGTTAAAAACTTTGCTTAGAAGGCAACTTTTAACAAGGCAAGTATAGTAGTAAGTATATACAAGTTAAAATTTAGCTTGTTGAGCAAAAATAAAAATAGAATAAAGTTGAAAGTAACAATTTAGAAAGGTATAGTACTATAATATAAGTGTAATATATAACTTAAGATCTTAGTTTATTGAAATAATATTTATTATACATTGTAAAAATTCTAGAATAATCAGCTAATTACATTTATTTATTTTTTTTTTTAAAATACAATTAAAGATTTAGAGGTTTATATATATGTATAACTACATACTATTTTGCTGTAATTTAAACTATAAGGCTTTCTTTATAAATTAATAAATAAAATAAATATAGTCATTTTACTTGAACAAATCTAATTAACTTCGTACAATATATATTTTAAAATTAGTTAAAGTTTCAATTTTTTTTTCTTTTAAAATTCATGATTTAGTTAGCTAATAATTATATGATAATATATATATTGTTTACATTTATTAACTAATCAAATTGAATGTCTGCTATGCTAGCTATATGTACAACTCTAGTCATTGTCTATTTTAAGTAGTCTGCTGCATAGGTATTATGCTACCTAATTGGTTCTACACTATACTACTATATCTGTAACTCACCTATGAATTACCTATTTAAATATTCTGTTCATTAACCTATACAGATCCAACTTAATATTACTACAACATCTAACTATTTAAGCTAACTAACTTATTACAGATCTATTTATTTAAAACAGTTTAGGTTCTCTTAGAATATATTATATCAGATGTATTGCTAGTATTGTAGAGCTAGTTAACCTCAAAGCAAACTTATTAGAGCAGTCTATACTTATTATATGAATTCATCTAGTTTAGATGTTTATATAATTTCAGGTTCTACTGTGATCTTCTACTAGTTAGTTGATCTAGTCCTTTTTTTAGTATCTAACTAGTCTAATTACCCTTCGCTCAAAGATCTTGAAACCTTTTACTTTTATTAGACTAAGTTTTCTTCTTAGATTAGACTTCACAGATGTAGTCTTGTTAGAAGGCTGTATTACTTCATCAACTTAGGATTTCTACTATGCAAGTCATCTGCTCATATATCCTATTTTTTTTTTTTTCCTTAAGCAGTCACACTAATACTTTATTAGACTTCTTAAAAACTATACATTTTTCAGAAGATTTAACCTAATTTCCTAAGCTTAGCATTACTCGGTTTCTCTATAGGGTCTAAGTATAACCTGCTGCACTATCTCAAACCAAGATAGACTGCCTTGTCTGACTGCTGCCCTACAATAGGATATCATTATTCAGCAAATACATAGTATAAACTATATTAAACTATTATTAACTACTATTTTTGCTAAATAAAATTATTAAACAAAAAAATTATAAATTACTAAATAAATCTGTTGTCATTCATGCAATAACTATTAATTATTAGAATATCAATTATATTTGATTAGACTTCATTTATTATTCAATGATCATTATTGTTCTAATAAATCAAATTATTCTAATATTAATTAATGTTAGAATATTAGTCTCACTTCAAATGAATATACTAATAATAATTTCGAAAATTTTAATAAATAATATAAATAAGCTACTGTTTGATCTACTTTAAAGCCATAATGCAATTATGTACTACTACATTATTTACTAGTGTTGCAAACTAGTAATTTACATGCAAGGTTAGTACAATACAATTACAATATAATTTTAGTAACTTGCAAGTTTATTGTAGTTTCATATAGCAACATCCCAATAACTGGTATATGTTTCGAATTATAAGTTTCAGGGTTTCAGGTTTTGGAAATTTTTTTAAAAATCTGAAACTAATTTTGGATTAATACTTTAACTCCGAGCGTTGATTTTATGATTCAAATCGTGATAAACTTGAGTTATTCGAGTTACTAGTTGACGAGTCCAGTCTCTAACTAGGCACTAGTATGTGGTTTAGTACAATTTGTTTATCACGTAAGATTTTTTTTTACATACAGATTCTTTATTTCATTGAGATATAAGACTGTGAAAGTTAGAGTATTTTATATAAACCCACAATATTGTTTTTTTTCAAAGTAATTTCACACTTTACTAATACAGCCTTGCTTAACTCCAAGTTATGTACCATTAAGCCTCTACATAATTATAAATATTTGACAAACAACTCAGCATCTTCTTTTTGTTGTCATGCAGACCGGTAACGATTTTTTGAGTACACTAGGAACAAAATAATTCAACACCTTATCAGTTATAGTATAGATTTCTTAAAAGTTTTAATAGTCAATTCAAAATTTTTTTTTAAAAGTTTGGATACGTCCATTTCATTGTAAGAAAAGACTGAATTTTTCACACCATGAAAGACAAATCATTTTCATATAGAGTTTATTGTTCGGTTAAATAATGTACTCTACCCTGTAAACATTAATTCTTTATACAGTAGTGTGAGCACTACTTTAAAAATTTCATGTATGAAAACCAAAAAAAAAATTTCTTTATTAAAATTTTTATTAAAATATATAAAAACATAATATTTGATCAAAAAATTTATCATATTGAATTTAGCAATCTTTTGTTACTATAATTCTAATAATCGTGTCACCAATCAAATATTTCGTAGACCAGACATTTGACGAAACTTATCATAAAATTGGATCATTTCTGGTGTGATACGACGTGTAAATGATGACAAAGCTCTCATGAAATGTTTTCGCTGCACCTATAATATATAAAATTTAATTCAATTTTTTTTAAACATTTGAAACGAATAAGAATTAACGCTTATTAAGGTTTATAAAAACCTCTTTTGCTTCAAGATCATCATCCATTGCACATAAAGCCGCTTCCTGACAAATTGATACAATTTCGGCACCCGAGCATCCATCTGTCTTATGTTTGACAAATAAAAATTTAATGTTACAATTGCTATAAATGAAACATCAAGGAGAACTATAAACACATTGTATAATTTCTAATCTTATAATTGGCTTAGTACACTAACAGTATTATATAAAGTTGACATAGTAACTAGACATTGCTAAATAGTGCTAAATCTAAGTAGGGTGTCACCCCCTCTATATTCAAAAGTTTATTGTAAGGACTAGAATTACCAGTGTTCCAAACCGGATTAAAAAAATTCGGTTTGATCCCGAAACAGACCGAAACCAAAATTCGGATTGAATTCGGGAAACAAAGAAAAGGATGGGCCCTAATTTTTAAACCGGGCTCAATCCGGATCTTTTACCAAATCGATCGGATTAGGTTATAATTCAATCGATTTGATCCGAATTTTCGGAACACTAGTAAAGCAACCGGCATCCATTTTAACTAGTAATAGTATCCGGATTAGTGATGAGACAAACTATTTACCGAAATTCAAATCATTGAGTAGTATATAAAAAAATTGCAAACATTGCATTTTAAATTTACATCGTGTATATTTCGTAAATTTATTGGTTTGAGACTTTGTTACGGCAAAGTCCCAAACTAGTTTAGCCAGTTTGGGATACGGCAAGTACCAAAAACTACCAGGTTTGGGTCTCATCACTAATCCGGATACTGTTTAGGTTATAGTATCCCCGTAAATAATATCCTCGATTATTCAAACCCGGATATTATTTACCATCTTATCAACTTAATTCTTTAATAATACCCAGGGTGATATAACAATTTTTGATTTATTCACAAATATAGTACCGGTTTCTCTGGGTACTAAAAATGAATAAGACCCTGAGTACTATAAGAAGTGTTAAACTGATTTCAGTGGTTTCCGCAAATACGGTATCCCTGATATTTTCCTTATTGTAGGAATATATAATGTGATAACCAAATTTTGCAAGATAGTGATGTGTACAAACTATTTGGAAAGTTCAAAACCATGTAATAAATTAGTTTCATATGATGTAAATACTAGGGTTCTGCAAGTTCTGGCACTTACAGAACCTAGTAAATACCTAAAAGAATACTAAATATAATATAGTTTGGACAAACATCGTTAAATGCAATATATCAGAATATGATAATTACGTAAGATATAAGACATACTTCAGCTGCTAATTCTTCAATATCAACATCCATGGCACACGACATTTTTCTCAGTTGAATTCGAAAGATTTCTTTTCTAGACGATAAATCTGGTGGACTCACATATAACATGTGATCAATACGGCCAGGTCTCAACAGAGCATTATCCTATATAAGATTAGGCTTATTAATGGCAACGAATATAAGTTTTTTTAAAAAAAGATAAAGTATATGCATACAATAATATCCGGACGATTTGTTGCTGCTACAACTGTTACGTTCACCAACGGCTCAATACCATCAAGCTCGTTTAGTAATTGCGATAAAACACGATCCGCAACTGAAGTTCCACAATCACTATTAGTACCACGCTTGACCGTAAGAGCGTCTATTTCATCCTACGAAATTTATTATTTCTCGATGAGATAGTAAAATCTTGAAAATAATAATCAAAAACGAAAAATATTCAATGATATAGATCTATATGAATATATTGGTCTTGCTTACAAAAAAAATTATCGATGGCGAAGCAGCACGAGCTTTACGAAATACTTCATGAACAGCTTTCTCTGATTCACCAACCCATTTACTAAATAGCTAATTATAAAAATCTAAAATTAAATTAACGCTTAAATGATTATTGGTCAAATTTAATGGTATTATACCTCAGGACCTTTTACAGCAATAAAATTTAAACCTGCTTCTGTAGCCAAGGCTTTTGCCATTAAAGTTTTACTGCAACCTGGAGGTCCGTATAACAAAATTCCTTTTGGTGGCTTTATACCAAGCCTGGAAAATGCTTCAGGGTGTTGTAAAGGCCATTCAATTGATTCTTTTAATTTTTGTATAATTTCCTGTTGACCACCAATATCTGACCAATAAACTTTAGGCACTTCAAGGAGAATCTTTAGATGTGATAAATTTATTAAACCAATGCTTTTTCATTTAATAATAAATGCATTTCATTTTATACCTCTCTCATGGCACTGGGACGAATTTCACATATCGCGGCTTCCATATCTTGCATGGTGATTTTGACATCTTCTGCAAAAGGAATATTAAAAAATTAAAAGGTTATGAACATTAATTGATTCTCTACAATATAGTAACACAAAAGCACTCACTTTGTTGGCAATGTTTAACACACCGTTTAATTGCTTTCAATCCTGCCTCTCGACAAACTGCCGCAAGGTCAGCACCAACATATCCATGTAATTTTGTTGCTAATTCATTAATATCTTCAGGTGATAAAGTATGCGGCACCTTTTTTAATAATGCCAGTAATATGGAAACTCGAGATGTAGCATTTGGAATTCCTTGAATATGTATAAAAATATATGAATTATAATTTGACGACAATTCAAAATTATTTTATTAAAATATCCAAAAACACACCAATTTCGATTTCACGATCAAACCTCCCAGGCCTTCTTAACGCTTCATCTAAAGCATTTTGGCGATTTGTTGCACCAATGACTACTATTCGATCTTGCAAATCAACATTATTTTTCTTATTAGCGATACCATCCATCAACGTCAGGAGAGTTGCTACAATACGTTTTCCTAGTTCGTTGCCAACCTTTACAAACAATTAAATTAGTAAGTCCATAATAAAAAAAGATGATAGGTTTACAAAATCTTTCAATTTTGTTACCTCATCACGTTTTGGGCATAATGCATCAATCTCATCAATAAAAATAATTGATGGTGCATTTTCAGCCGCTTCATTAAATATATCTCTTAACTATACAAGATAACTTCAATATTCATCATTTCATCCAATGATTAAAACTAAAGTAATAGCATATGACTAAATTTATGACGAATAGACCTTTGCTTCAGTTTCTCCGTAAAATTTGCTTGTTATTTCTGGCCCGTTCACACATATAACATGTGACACGGTTTCTGAAGCAACAGCACGTGCAATCAATGTTTTACCAGTCCCAGGAGGACCGTACAAAAGCACTCCCTTTGGCGGTCGCAGCCCTAGTGTATATTTATATATATATAAAAATAAAATGGCCCATAAATATATACCTAAAAATAAAAATTTTTAATAGGCAACAATTATCTTACCATATTGCATAAATAATTCAGGTTTATGTAATGAATTTTCAACCATCTCGCGTACTATCTGAATTTGTTCATGCAATCCTCCAATGCTATCGTATCCGATCTTATGAAACTTCTTCGAATCATCAACCCCCGCGTTTTCCTTGTATTTTTTTGAGTAAAAAAAAAAATATATATATATTTATAATCAAAAAATAGGGTAACCCTTCAAACATGAAGAAATTATGGTTACATTTGTTAAAATAGTAATGGTTGTTTCCCTTGTAATTGAATAGATGACCATTCCTATGTCATCTTTTGTGAATTCTTTTATAGGGCTGATATTAATAACTTGAAAAGACCTGATAATTCCATGGTATTGAAACTCTATACGATTTCCTTTTACTAAATATTTAGTGTTAACTAGGTGCAAAAAGAAAGGAATAAATAAGAAATTATACTACATATTCAATACACAAAAAAATAGTTGCACATACTCAATATTTCCTTTGAGAATATATTCAATGTCTGATCAATTGGAAAGTCTATAACCCCAAGTGGTTCTAAGACAACTTTTGAAGCGTTTATAATCACACAGTCAACTCGAGAAATAAAAGCAGGGTCACCATTTTGAAGACCAGCATTTTCACATTGTAGAGGGTTTAATTGAATTTCTTTGATATATAATCATTAATTTTTTTTTAAAAAAAAAATTTTTTTTAATCCAATAATGTGACAAAAAATAACATACGTTCTTTTCCAATTGTGAATGATGGCCAGGCAATTCCTATAGTGATCATCTTTTTAAAAAAAAACAATCAATCAAATCGTTTTTACGATTTTGTACATATTTAAATAATAAAATTTATTTTATTCTCTTCGTACTTCAGCTGCGGATTCCTCATTTTGTTTTTTTATGAAAATATAATCACCAATACGAATATTGCGCTCACGTAATGCTTCCACATTTAAATATGCTCTACTTCTAGCACGTAAATTTTTACTATCGCTAACAGATATCACTTGAACAAAAAGGTTAGATATTTGATTTGAATTCATATTTGCGATAAGATTCTCGAAATTATACAATTTAAAAATTTTTATCAGCCAATCATATTAATCAGTGCCCAGTTTGTTTGTAGATTTTCTAAGTGTAACATTAAAATATATCAACTTACTATATTGTATCGACCAGTGTTGGTCGATGACTTTAAATAACCTATATTGCTTTTATGACTTGTCATAGGTCATTTGGTCATAATGAATATTGATATGACTTTATGACCTTTTACTTTAGCAGAACTCGACAACCACCTGACCAAATCAGTAAAAATTTTTTGTTTATAAAAATTCAGAGTTTAGGCCACGCAAAGTCAATTTCTTAGTTTCCATAACATAAAATTTTAAAAGTGACCCGTCAACCGGCTTTTTATTTTAATATATTTCATATGATTTTTTTTAGAAAAAATTATAAAAACATGAAATTTTTTAAAATTTTTTTTAAAAAAACTGACCCGGGTGAAAATAGAATTTCCTTTTTATTATTATTACAATTATTATATATTATACCGACAAACTAAAATTTTAAATTTTTTTTATCGTAAAAAATTCAAAATTTTGATATCTGATATAAACCTTCAACCTAGTTTAAATAAAAAAAAAAGGGGAGTAAGTATTAAAGTAAAAAATTTAACTAGAGAGTCCAGAAATTATACTTTTTATGCTAATAAATTTTTTTTTATAATAAAAAAAGATTCCGTTAATGCTCAGTTTGATTATAATTAAAATCGCTAAAAAAAAACTACGTAGAAATAAATTATATAACGACGAAATTAAATAATACATGATAAATAAAATCTTATGTTCAAAAAATTATCAACTCTTCAAAATTCATATCTATATTACAGGGTTTTTCTTTTCTGCTTGATGATAATTATTCTCATGCTGATCTATAGATTTTGTGAGCACATACTATATTATTTTTTAGCTGAATTTTATGCTACGTATAGTAAATAATTTTTTTTTTCAGCCGAAGAATTTTGGTTAGTTCCTATCGCATGAATTATATCGTTATAACGATAATTTAAAATTTTATCATCCGTAGTCAATCGAATTCACAATATATAGTATTTTTTTATTAATAAATTTTTATATATACAATACAGTATTGAACTAAAATTCTTTAAACAAAAAACTATAAATATTTGACGAGATATCTTAGTTTCAGAGATTAAATCTCCTACTTATCCCAACCACCACGAAAAGG